CCTAATACACATTCACGGGACAGCACGCCATGGCCGTTCATACCTGGCTGGCTATGCTTCTTATTTGTGAGCATCAGGGTTAACAAGAAAGTGGAGCAAGCCCTGTCTCGCTTCATCATGTCTGTGAGCGTGAAAACAGGAGATAGGCCCACGTCTCTTGTTTCCAGATGGGCCTTATCTAGCTGCTGGGTCACGTGACCTCCCTGGGCCTGCCTGGATCCACTGGAGTGCTTGCCTTCTTGCCTACTCTCCTTCCTCGTCCTTTTGTGTACAGTGTCCGTCGCTTGCCCTTACAGCTCGCTTTGTCTTTCCTCTGAATTACTAGGCATAGCCTCCTTTCATCTTCAGAGTCTCAGAGAGCTAAGAATGACATCAACAAGGGGGGGGGGCAGCAGTGAGAGGGACCAGCAGGCAGTGACCAGGTCTCATGAAAGGCGAAGAACACTGACATTTTGATGGAGCAGAAACTGGACTTTTGTGAGGCCCTGAGAAACAGGAGCTGGCAGCTGGTGCGCCCAGGGCTAGCCACCATGTTGCTGGCTTTTTCTTCACATCGTTGTGAATCACGTGGCCACAGACTAAGCCTCTTCAAGAACCCTGAGGAGACATTGTCACTGTGGTAAGGGTCTAAGCCTATCTGTGTGAGAGCCCTGGGTAGACACTGTCATGGTTGGGAGAGTCGGAGCGTGTTTCCGGGGGGCAGGGGGTGAGTCCTGGGTAAGCACTAGATGACAGAAAGAGTTTGGTCCTCTGTCCTGCCTTCTGCCTTCCGTGCTCTTAGGCCTGAGAGGTACTCTCTTGGTTTCTTGCTCTGTACACCAGGCTCCATACTGTCTATACTATAGGGTTATATCAGGGAAAACCAGTGGTGGAAGACACTATGGGTGTGGCCAGATGGGGAGCTGGGGTGAGAAGACTATTCCTAGGATGGGTCCTAGGAACAGTGTTGGGAAGACCAACTCCCTTGAAACGACAAGGAAATGGAGGTCTAGAGAGCATCTTCTAAAGACTCAGTGAGTTCAGAGGGCAGGCAGAGCTCTGGGCTCTCCTAATTCCCACCCTGTCCTTTGGAGTCCATAGAGACTTGGAGCTCAGGTCTGTCTCTGACATACTGTCCTGGTCCAGGAGTGTCTCCTAGGAGGTGTGGGTCCCACCGAGCCTCAGGAGAGGATGTAACTCCAGAGCTGGTCACAAGCAGTTGCTGGCATCTCTGAGTCTCAGCTTCCTAAGGTAAGGCCTCCTGTACAAGGCTGTCATGTTAATTAAGGCTGCAATGAGAAGAGCCTTGGGCGACTTATTGAAGGGTCAGTGAGGGACACATTTTCCTGCTCCGGGATAGATCTGCCTTCACCTCTAGAGTTGACCTATGTCTGACCTTGGCTGACCAGACTGTCACGGGGCCTGGACAAGGTGGGGAGGAACAGGTCCAGGTCAGCATGTTTGTTGGGGCGAGAGGTGCTGCCCTAGCAGCTAGTCTCCTGCTCCAGACTTCGCTCTCTGCCTCCCACAGGGGAGGTGTTCCCTGTGGTGATGAATCCCAGCCTCTCTAGACAGAAGGCTGGGACAGAAGGACCTCACATCTGCTGAGCTGGTGACGAGGACACCAGACACTGGGAGTTCTGAGATGTGCAGAGGTAGGTGACACCGAGGCAAGACAAATCATTTTGAAGAGGAAGGGGTTATCGGGGTTATCTAGGTCACTAAAGTCTCAGAGAGGGGTCATGTTTCATCCAAAGCCAAACAGCAAGAGCACTAAGGAAGCTAGAACTACGGGCCATGGTTCAGAGATCTACTTGTTGGAGAAAGCTGGAGGCCTTCCATACTTCCAGGAACAAGGCGCCCACTACCTTCTATGGAAGTCTGTGCACTTTATCACAGTTAGGGTCTCTCTAGCTGTTACATGGAGCAGCCTGGTCACTAGACCTGCTGCCCACAAGATCAGCAAGTACAGCACCACGCACCGACCCTCTACAATGAGCTTGTGTGCTTTAGTCTTTGTCTGGACTCTAATTGTGTAGCACCTTTCAATCCCGAGGCTTCCAGACCCTCCCCCACCAGCCACTGAAGACCACACTTTCTCAGAATGCAGGGCCAGACTTAAAAGAGGATAAACCGGGAAGCTCCCAGAGGCTGCCTTCGTGAGGCCGTTCAATAAATGTAATAACAATTAGGTATTTTCATCAGTGGAAACAAAATTGACTCAGAAGTAAAAGGAGGATTTTAAAGGCGTTTTCAGTTCCTGACTTTTGCAGAAGTCGGTTAAGTTAGCAAGCAGATAAAAGCTTCCAAGAGCTGGGGTGGGGGGGAGCGTGGGGGTGGGGGGGAGGTATGCAGTACAGTGCAGATTTTGGAAGGTGACTCTGTCCATGCCAAACTGTCAGATTATTAGACTTAAAATGGTCTCTCCTTCCTGTGACCTCCTGCAGGTCAGAGCCAGGGTCTTTCTAACCCTGCCAGAGCTGGCTGGCACACACCGGAGCAAAGACACAGACACTGGCTCGTTCTGGCTGGTTGATATTTCAGTGTGCAGAAGGTCAGATGCATCCTCTGTTCACTTAGCCTTTGGACTTTGCACACGCTGTGAGAGAACCTGGTGTGATACCATGGGTGGGTAGCAAACTACTGTGAATTCCGGACCACCCTGGGCAGCCCAGGCTGCTGTGGGGGTACAGAGTGAGCTGCTTGTCTTGCAGTCCTTGCTTCCATCTTTTTTTTTTTTTTGTGAATAAGGGTACCCTCATTTTCCCTTGGGGAACTCTTTCTCCCTAGTCTCTTTCTGCATGCTTTGGGGCTGCTAAGGGCAGTCTGGGACTCCACTAGAAGGACATTGACCAATCAACTTCATTCTTCTGCATGTATTTACACGGATGCTCCATGTGGCCCTTGGCTCTCACCTGGATGCATGCGGTTTCTCTCTCAAGACTGATTGCTCAATGAGGACGGGGCCAGCACCCTTCCTTCCCTGGGTCCTCGGAGTCCTGTCCATATTGGCACAGGAAGGGGCTGCGAAAGCCTCTTGTGCAGTGGTCCCCTTTATTCAGGATTCACTTTCAGAGGTTTCAATTTCTTTCATCGCCCATAGTTCAAAGCATAAACAGAAGATTCTAGAAAATTCACAAGTTTCAAATTGCATACCCTTCTCAGTAAGGGGATGAAATCTCGGACCATCCCATGCCTCCCTTCCCTCCATAGATGTGAACCATCCTTTTGTTAAGATCTGTGCTGTGCACGATGCCCACTTTTTCGTCACTTAGCAACCATTTTGGTTATCAGAGCACCTGGAGCCACACTCACTTTACTTCCTGTCTGTGGGTACTGTGTCACCCAACATCACAAGAGTGGAGTGCGTTTGGGATTTGGGACATATCCCCTACAAATATAAGGGGTGGCTGTCGTTGAATTTCTGCCAGAGGGATTGCTCATTGGTCTATCCCAGTCACTAAGTTACCAAGGGCTGTGTTTGTGTGTGTGTCTGTGTGTATGAATGTGTGTGTATGTGTGTGTGTGTGTGTGTGTGTGTGTTAAATTTTGTTCACTTAGAACTTCCAAGGAAACCAGTCAATCACTCAATTTCTATCTTGTCCAAGAGAGAGAAGGAAAGAAAGGGGGCAGGGTTACCACTCAGTTTTTAGGAACCGGCGTTTTGTTCCTGCTGCATTAGGCAGCCTTAGGAAGAATAGAAGTTTTCCAGAGGTGTGTGGACAGTTTCAAGCCATCACCAACACAGCATCAACAAAGCAGACTTGGAAGCAGCTGGTCACAGCTGGGAGATCAATGGCACTCAATCATTGTCAACCTTTGTCTTAGAGGAATCTGCCCAGCTAATTGACAACAGGGAAAAGCCAGTCTCTTGTCCCACAGCCCAGGAGACTTCGAAAGACAGAAGAAGCAGTCAGGATGGCACATTCTGGACATGCCAGCTTGGTGAGGGAACGGTGGAAGAAGAGGACAACCAACAGTCCCAGACAAGGAGCTGAGGTGAGTATGGGCACCAGGCAAGCATCTCTTTGGGATGGATGATCCCTACATTTGGGGACCAGATGCTATCCCAGGAGGAGAGAATTTCACAGGTAGTTGGGTGAGCTTCAAGGAACCCCAGCCCCTCACTTCCCAACTGGGTGGCTTATGCAAACCCTTGAATGTTCAGTTTCCTTCTGTATCAGGAGTGTGTGAACTGGCCTCCAGGGGTCTCTCTGTCAAGTCTCCTGTGTAGTGAGAATACAGGAAAGGTGCTGGCCCTGGTGCCACTTCCTGTTCCCCACTCTCCTGGGTGGCTGCTGAGTTCTAGCTCAGTCGAACCTGGAGGGGTCAGGCCTTTGCCTTCAAATCTCCCCAGTTCTGGGTCTCAGTTGTGCAGTCTGGGTAAGGAAGAGACCTGTGCAGTTTCCTCTTCCTAAGCTATGGCTCGCCTGTTTCCGGAGTTTTCCCAATGTAGGAAACAGGCTAGTGGTGGAAAGTGTCTGGCAACTAGGCAAGCTGACTACCAATATTGTCTTATTTCTTCACTCTGAGTTAGAGTAATTTCACTTTGTGGCTCACCTCTTGCTGATCAAAGCTCTGACTGGCAGTTAAGTGCCTTTGATTAATAAAAAATGGGGGAAATGAATTAATCATGACTTCAATTCAGCGTGTTTGGGAAACACAGTCTTTAAAAAGCCAAACCCGCAAGGGCCAGTGTGAGGGGCATCACAGTGTCCTTTGGGGTCAGAGTGTGTGACCTGGTGTGATAGTCACGGAGTCTCTGGCTGTGGACGGAGGACCCATGCGACAGCCGATGGATTGGGTGCTGCTACTTGGACAGGCGGCTTGGTCCCTTTAAGGCTCCTCTCCCTATCTAGAGCCCCAAGCCTGTGCGGAGGAGGACATGCATTATTGAAAGCGCATTTCAATACCTATTCTCTCCCCTCCTCCTGTGGGTGGCAATCACAGTTTACATAATCTGTCTCTCTGTCCTCCCAGGCAGCTGCTCCCTTCTGGCTGAGTGGTTTGAGGAGGGGAGGGTGGGGAGGGACCAGATATTAACTCTATGCTGCCACCTCAGGTCCCAGCTAGGGTGCCTTGTGGTGAGGGTGGCCGAAGACCTTGACACCACAGAGTTCCGGAGACCTCGGGTGTACCACTCTGCCCCTCTTCTGTGATCTGGACTCATTGCATGGCTCCCATCCTAGTGTCCTTGTTAATGGCCTCCCACCCCTGTTCACAATACAGAGCTGTGTCCTGATCCGCAGGTCCATCGACAACCTGCTTGCGGGGCAGCTGTTAGCTGGTTCACAGGCTGTTCAGGCTCAGCCAACTCCAAACTGACCTTACCGGTTTTCTCCCAGCCATCTGTCCTAGCTCTGACTTCTCATGTCTATCCACCACTCACTCAGCTAACCCATGCATTCACTCGCTACGTACGCGTTCACCTGTCTATCATTTTTACTACCGTTCATTTATCCACCTCTTTATCCATCCATCCAGCCAGCCGCTTCTCCATCTGCCCAGTCTAGCCTTTGTCGGTGCTGAGAGTGCAGCGACAGGCAGCGCAGACGCTGGGTTTGTCCTCTCAGTACTTACAACCTTGCGATGACAGCATGCAGGTGACTAGACTACTGTAATACACACAGGGAGTGTGGGAGAGGATGGGGTGCTGCAGAAGCAGAAGAGAGGCACTCTGGAATCCTGGTGGGCACCGGACAGTATTTAATGTGATATTACCTAAGCAGACCCCTGAGAGCTAGTTCCTCATCTCTACCTCCTGAGACAATACCCCTTTGGGAGGTGTTCCCCTTCCTGTCCTTCCTCATGGTCTTTTTTGGCCTGAGTGGGAAGACTGCATTGTCACAGTGACAGAGCCTGGCTGTGGGAAGGGGTTAGGACTTAGTCTCTGATGTTCAATCCCAGAACACTGCTGGCACCTCAAGAAACAGGGGGTCCATCTCCATTAGAACTGCTGGACAGGTATGAAGGTGGTCTGATATTCTGCCATTTGAAGGGAGAGCTTGCCAAAGAGTGAGGACCACAGTAGAGACCAGATGGAGACAGGAAGGCAGCCCTAAAAATCTTCTCCAGAACCCTCCATCTAGACCTGTCTGCTCACAGCAAGGCCAGGCTTTCCCTTTAAGCGATTTGGAGTTGGTCTCCGTCACTTGCTGTCAAAAGAGCCCTCATTAACAGCAAAGATCCTCCGGTAACAGCGGGACACATTTCCACATCCTTTGTCTTATTTGATTTCACAACAGCCCCAGGAGGCTGTTTATCGGTGATGAAACGAAGGCCCAGACAGTCCAGTCAGCAGACCTAGACCCTGGTTTTAAAGACAACGAAGTCAGCCCTTCCTTTGTGACTCTGGACGTGAAACAGAAAGGATGCAGGAGAAAGACTTAGATTTTAGAGGAAAGGATGGATGGAAAGGACCCGGAGGTAGCTCAGAGGCACTGATAGGATCATTGTGAGTAAAAGAGAGGCGAGAAGAGAAGATGGATCTGCAGGGGAGTGAGTTAGAAGGGGAGGATTGTGGAAAGTAGCAGAGAGGTGTCTACATTCAAGCTCAGCATTTGCTACACACCGGCCAAATGAGTCGGCATCTCAGCAACCGGTGCGCCAGAGAGGACCTTGCTCCTCAAAGTTAGCCTGTATTTTGTTGCTTGACAAAATTTTCAAGCCCATATTTCAAGATCTGACCTTCTCTAGGAAGCACCCACCCCTCTCCTAGACTCCTCTCTGGAGACTCCTAAGTCCTCCCATGTCTCCTCTGCTGGTCACATTGGGAGAATGACTCATCTTCCTCTGGGGAAGTCGACATCTTTCTCGACTGTGAAGAGACCCAAGCTCCTAACCTGGCACCCTGTTGGGACTGAATGCGTATTTTTAAAATGGGTTTATTTGAAGGAAATGAATGTCAGACAAGGCTTAAAGTCAGGATGTGAACGTGTCAGGAAGATAGAGGCAGAAAAAGCAAGGCCCCCCCCCCCCCACACAGAGAGAGAGAGAGAGAGAGAGAGAGAGAGAGAGAGAGAGAGAGAGTCAGGAATGCAGACAGGGAAGATGGAGGTCTGAGGAGAGACCCAGAGTGCAGCCTAGGATAAAGTTCAGAGTCCATTGGACTTCTGGAGTTCATCTGGCGTTGGTCCTTGGAAAGTGCTTCAACGTATTTTATGGGGGGAACCATCTGGACAGGGCCCAGTTTGCCCAGAGTCCAGTAGACTTGGGAGGAATAATCCTATAAGATAGGTGGGTGCAACAGAGCCCTTACAGTTCCTATCCCTGCCACTGGGGGCGGGATACACAAGGCCACCGTGAGAGGATGGAGCAGTCACCACAGGTAGGAAGGCCTGCAGCTGGAAGCAGCCAGAACCTTGACCCTGCCGCATCATGGGTCTTTCACAGAGAGTCCGTGTGGTGTGATCCTTCCCTTCAGTGGCTGCCTTTGGATTCTAACCCAGGAAAGGACCCAGAATCACAGGCGGCCGCTGGTCTATGACTATTTCCCCTCTGCTCTGGAAGCAGATGGCTAACAGTCCCCGCCCATCACAAGTCTTCTCTTTATCCTCCGTGGTCCTGAGGACCGTCTAACGTAATCCCATTTATTCTGCCCATCTGCTTGTTTATTGGCTGTCTCTCCTACTGTGGGAGACTCTATGATGGGGACTCTGTGGGTCTCCCAGTGTCTAGCCCAGCACCTGGAGATGCTCACAGAATGCCAGGCAGATTAGTGAATGGGAGGACAGGTGGATGGGTAGGGTGGGGATGGGATGTGCTTGGATGTGGCATTGATGAAGCATTTCACCAAGCAAGGCTCTGGAAATAAAGGCATCTAAAGTGTGAGGTGAGAACCCTTGAGAAGAGAAAGGCCCTTCCTTCTAGGGCTAATTGTATGCTATGAGCTGGAGCGCTGTAGCTCCTGGGAGACTGGAGACAGGGAGGTCCTGAGGGAAGGATGCAGTCCCTACCCCAGGGACACCTGCGCTCAGGCAGCGAGGAAACACACTAGGGGCTGGCTGTCTCTGTAAAGGCAAAAGGATGCTAATGTCACTACTTAGAGATGAGGAAGAGCCTCAGCACTGGACTGGGCAGGAAGGGGGCATCAGTCTTAGAAGATGGGGAGGAGCATGGATAACTGTGTGCCAAGCAAACCAGGAGGAAGCATGCTGGACACTTCTTTTGTTTTGTTGCTAGTTTGTGTGTCCTCTTGTGGTCACCCATTGTCATCATCACAGTCATTGTAGTACTCCCTCCGCCCCCGCTTCTCACTATGGGAGCAAAGGAAAACGATCAAAACATATAAAGAACCCGAAGCCCAGGGAGCTAAAGGGATCAGCCCAGACTCATCCTACAATTGATCAACTTGGTCTAAATGGATGAACGTCCAACATGACGTTAGGGTGGGCTGCTCCTCTCTGCCAGGACTCTCCGTGTGAGAGAAGAGCCAGTGAGGGAGAGCAAACAGGTAGAACTACTGCCCAGCAGAATAGGGGTGAGATGGATGTTTTTGGAGTTTTTCTTTTCCTTACTGTGTTAATCTTTCCTGGGACCTCCTGTTCTTATCTGAGGTTGGTATGAAAATGGCCAACAGGGCCCCTACTCATAGGCTCCATTCCTATGGCCAGCTTTGGGGTACTGGGCAAATTGCCCCTGCCTCTGACATACTGATAACAATTTAGAACCCTTACGACACAGCAAGGATTCAAGGAGGCAGAGGAAGAGGGTGAAGCCTGCTAAGAACCGAAGAGACGCTGTGTGGATTAGCCATAGACCCGAAGCTCGTTCCACAACCCAAGTCCCTCCACCCAAAGCTAATTATGTGCCTTGTCCAAATCCCTCCAGGGGTTTGAAGAGACGCTTAACGAGAGTAACCCACTTCCTCCACCTCCACAAGTTCCTACAACCTTCCGACAGCCCCACCAGCTAGCGGTCAAGTGTTCAAGTGCCCGTAGGAGACACTTCACTTCAAAACATTGCCCATGTGCGGATCTCCTGAAACTGAGAAGCTTCTGTAAAGCAAAAGACACGGTCAACAAGACAAAATGGTAGCCTACAGAATGGGAAATGATCTTCACCAGCCCCACATCGGACAGAGGGCTGAACTCCAAAATATACAAAGAACTCAAAAAATTGGTCATCAAAAGAACAAATAATCCAATAAAAAAATGAGGTACAGAGAACTCTCAACAGAGGAATCTAAAATGGCTGAAAGACACTTAAGGAAATGCTCAACACCCTTAGTCATCAGAGAAATGCAAATCAAAACAACTCTGAGATTCCATCTTACACCTGTAAGAATGGCCAAGATCAAAAACACTGATGACAACTTATGCTGGAGAGTAAAAGGAACACTTCTGCATTGCTGATGGGAGTGTAAACTGGTACAGTCTCTTTGGATATCAGTGTGGCGATTTCTCAGAAAATTAGGAAACAACTTCCCTCAAGATCCAACAATACCACTTTTGGGTATATATCCAAAGGATGCTCAATTGTACCACAAAGATATATGTTCAACCATTTTCATAGCAGCATTGTTTGTCATAGCCAGAACATGGAAACAATCTAAATGCCCCTCAACCAAAGAATGGATAAGGAAAATGTGATACATTTACACAATGAAGTACTACACAGCAGAAAAAATAATGACATCTTTAAATTTGCAGGCAAATGAATAGATCTAGAAAACATTATATTAAGTGAGGTAACCCAGACCCAGAAAGACAAATATCATATGTACTCACTCATAGGTGGTTTTTAGACATAAAGCAAGCAAAAACCAGCCTACAATCACAATCCCAGAGAATCTAGACAACAAAGAGGACCCTAAGAGAGACATACATGAATCTAATCTACATGGGAAGTAGAAAAAGACAGGATCTCCTGAGTAAATTGGGAGCGTGGAAATCCTGGGAGAAGGTAGAAGGAGAGGGGGAAGGAATGGAAGGGAGCAGAGGAAAATATTTAGCTTGGTAAAATCAATAAAAAAATTTAAAAATTATTTCTTATTTTTTGAGGTTATAATATAATCACATGTATTTTTAAAAGTAAAGAATATTAACAATAAAGTATTTTTTCCTTAAAAGAAACAACAACAACAAAGTAGTAGTCTTGGCTGTCCTGGAACTTGCTATGTAGGCCAAGATATTGAACTCATAGAGATCTGTTTGCCTCTGCCTCCTGAGTACTGGATTAAGGGTGTATGCCGCTAGACCTGGTTTAGGAAGCCGTTACTATTTTATGCTCCTGTTTGCCCTACTAGGGAGCGCGTTGTTTGAGGTAGGTAGACCTTTCCTTGTCGTCTGGTGACACACTTTCTAGAGCAGTGGTTCTCAGCCTTCCTAACGCTGCGACCCTTTAGTTCACTTCCTCATGTTGTGCTGACCCCCAACCATAAAAGTATTTTTGTTGCTACTTCATAACTGTAATTTTGCTACTGTTATGAACTGTAGCGTAAATATCTGTGTTTCCCCATGGTCTTAGGTGACTCCCGTGCAAGGATTATTTAAACCCTAAGGGATTGTGACCCACAGGTTGAGAAACGCTGTTCTAGAGATGTCTAGTCTCTAGGCTAAACAACCCTAATTCACATATTTACACCCGGCGTCCCACAGAATGCATTTCTTTCTTTCTTTTCCTTTCCTTCTGTTGGTGAAGCACAAATGGGCACACAGACCTCTGTTCCCACCACCTCCATCCTCACCATATTTAGCTCAAAAGAACAACTTCTGGAGGCCAAAGTGGTGATTGGTTAGGGGATGAGGTGGATCCCTCTCCTTAAACCTTATTCCCTGGGGACACTAGGTCCTCTCGTGGCGCACATTATGGGAGTGATCCAACACAGAGCAGGATACTGGAGGGGACGTGGGAAGTTATGAAAGTCTTGTCGTTGGAGGTATGTGAGAACTGGCAGCAACTGGGAGCTACTGGTGGGACACTAGTCTCCCTGTCTCCAGACTCAATGGAGAAAAGGAAGAGAAATGATGTCAGTGGAGGCCCTAAAGTGCATGGTCCCGTTAGATGCACAATCTCATGGCCTTCACGTGTTCTTCTCCCTGCTCTTCCTGCCTTTTAGGATGCCCCGCATTGAATGTGCAAAGGAAGGAATGCTTCCACACACACGCTATGAAAAGCCCATTGCTACGTGAGGACATTGGGTCCTGATGCGCAAGTCTCTAGAAGTTTACGGTCACCTCCAGATCCCCAGGTTCCCGGACACTGGCTGCAGGTCATGATCCTTGTTGTAGGGAGCATAGGCTCAGGGAATATGTGCTCTCACTAATATCTCCAACTCTGTTAGGGAGGCAGTTACTGAGGCTACTGGCCAATGGTCGAGAAGAGGACCAGCGGCTATGACTTCCAGGCTGAGGTGTTTAAGAACAGGTGGTCCTCACCCTCTCCTCCCCTGCTGCATAATGATAAAGCCGGTCTGTCTCCCAGAGTCACCGCTGGGAAGAAAAGCTCTTCTCTTTTTACAGGTGATGTCATGTAAGAGAGAAATGACCACTATTATGTCAAGCCACACAGACCTCAGCCTTTATTGGTCACCACAGTGTGATCTGGCTATCTTCCCCAGCAGCCCCCTCTCTGTCACTGCCACAGTACTGTGTGGGAAGCATGGGACCTGGCGTCTAGCATAGTGATTCCTCAGAGCTTGTAACCCAAGAGCAGCAGACAAAAACCACTAAGTGTTTAGAACAGCGAGGTTGAGTATTGTAACAGGAGGGGAAAGGAGCCTCTGGATGTCTGAAGAAGGGTGACGGGGCAGAAGGAGGGGGACACCACAGGAGATTTTTCTCCAGGAAGTGGCATTTCAACTGAATTACAGCCACAAACAGAAGTGGATTCAGCATCGACCAATTGGCATATATTGTTCGGTCAGCACAATATTGATATCTTTTGTTAACTGATGACATGTAGGAGCGAGTTTCAAGCAGAAGTCTGGATTTGACATTTCGCTTTAAAATAAATATTACAAAATGACTAAACAGGGAACAAACAAAGCTAGGACCATGTGCCTGTGTGGTGACAATTACTTGAGCTGGCAGTGACTGTCATATAGTCAGATCCACATAACCATGTTGCCACAGCTCCCTGGGGGAACATCCTGCCCTCTGATTGCCCTGTAGACAGCAGAGTTCACAATACCCCAGTCAGTAGCACCTCTTTGGGGTGTGTGTGTGTGTCCTACCTGTGACCTGTAGCCCAATACAAAATTGCAAATTTACCTAAAACATTGTGAGTCTTTGCCCCCCTCCCTTTCTTTTTGTAACTTGCTTTCCTGGCTCTCAACTGTCAGCTTTGCGTACAAACACCATTTTTGCATTGTTAAAAGGTTGGACATGCCATTTAGAGTTCTTCAATCCTGCGTATCTTAGACTTCAGCAGTGAGGTCAAGGGCCACTGGTTTAGCCTCGTTATCTTCCCTAGAGCTCTAATCTAGAAGACTCTAGAAGCCTGGGGTGGGGTTAGGAGCCTATGCACTGACTCCTGACTGAGGTGCTGACCCTGGTCCAGCCACTGTAAGAGAAAGGAGGCCCCAGGGACTGTCCCCACAAGTCAGGCTGAAGGAATCACACTGCTGGGGGTCCCTTGGTTCTTCAGAAGAGACCCCTAAGGGTCTGGGCTTCCTAGAATGGCTCCTTCCTTCCTTTGATCTCAGCTCTTTCTCAGCTCCAGTCCTGCATGTTGTGTTCCAGCTTTCATACTTTCTCTTGGCCCAGAGTACACAGAGCCAGACCCATTGGGACTGTGAATCTCAAGTTCAGCTGTGACTGATGCCTCCCATATGAGGCCTCAAAATTGCCATCCCAGCTCCTCTTCCAGACCCTCTGAGTCCCTGGGTAGCTGATGACACCTAGAACCCCCTTTATGGAGAACAGGAAACCTTGCATTAGATGCTATTATCAACATAGCTGAATTTACATATGACCCTTCAAGCGCAGATGTGAACAGTTTGGGTTTCCACCTGCTTCTTCAGAATGCTAAGCTGGCCCAGGCCACCTCTTCTGGATCCTCAATTCCCTCCTGGTGGAACCACCCAATCTTCTTTTTTTTTTAAGATTAGCCTTGCTACAAATTGATAGATCTAGAAAACATCATACTGAGCGAGGTAACCTAGACCCAGAAAGACAAATATATTTACTCATTCATAAGTGGCTTTTAGACACAAAACAAAGAAAACCAGCCTACAATTCACAATCCCAGAGAAACTTAGACAACAATGAGGACTCTAAGAGAGACATACATGGATCTAATCTACATGGAAAGCAGGAAAAGACAAGATTTGCTGAGTAAATTAGGAGCGTGGAGACCATGGGAGAGGGTTGAAGGGGAGAGGAAAGGAAGGAAGGGGAACAGAGAAAAATTTATAGCTCAATAAAATCAATTAAAAAATCAGAAAAGAGAGAGAAAGAGAGAAAAAAAAGATTAGCCTTGCTAAACACCAGAGGCCTGAGATCTGTTCCAGACCTAACTTCTAGCCATGGCCTAGGTCTTACTGACTTTTGACTAAGCTAGTGTCCTGGTTCTTACACCTCTGTCTCAATCAGGAAACCCTCGGTCACTTTCTTGGCAATGTTCCTCCTTCTCAGGAGCCTGCATTACCCCCTCCAGGATACCTCCCCCGAAGGTTGGAGATATGGTAATGAGAGATATCCCTGCAAATGGGCTAGCATGGGCTTTAAGTTGAGGGGCCCTACAACGTTCCTGCTTCATTAGTACGTCCTTAGTCAAGGGATATCTTCATCTTTTTTACTCCTGTGCATTTTGCTTGTAGTGCTCTACAGTTTGCACGTAACAAGAGAAGCGTTTCAGCTTCTCATCTTAAGTGGACATGCTTTTAAAAAGGGAACATGAGATCTATTATATAAGCAAGAATCCGGTATAGATCTTTCTTGATTTATGATGGGGTCACATCCTGATAACCTTACTGTAAATCGGAAATGTTGTAAGTAGAAACACAGTTAAATATCTTTGCGGAATGCCCAAGCTTAGCAGCATAGTACATGGTGGAGTGTTGTGTCTCCCTTTGTCACTGGGTGACTGACTAGGAGCTGGG